ATGTTTGCAACTACAAGACAAGAGTGTCAGTGACCATATGCACTGCAAGTTAGCTAATTTCTGTTGAACCACAAGCTTCACTGGGTCTGGTTTGTAAATAATTTAGGTTTCTCCTCTATTGATACAGCTGTCAAAAATGTTTTGGATGATTGATGGTAGACATTCATGGAAACTGCATTTAGACTTTTTGACCAAATGTAATGTTTCTGTCTTTTCTTTAGTGAATCTGATGGAAACCACAGTACAGAAGATGAAGCCAGCAAGGGAGATCTGGATGATATTACTGACAAACCTGCTGCTCAAGAGACGGGCAGCTCCAATGCTTCTCTTATATCACTCTCTGGGGCTCCTTGCAGTACTGGTCAGTTTATTCTCAACAGCACCGGGGGATTCTTTACAAGCTCTCATCCACTGCTGCTCAATGGGAGCCCTATACTCTCAGGGGCAGGAACAGGGGTCATCATCAATGGGCTGACACTGAGCGATGGCCACACAGTCACTCTCAGTCCTGTTACAGCTAATGCACCATTGCTACTAAATGGGGCTCAAGTAATCCCCAAAGATGACCGGGGCATCAATGATATAGAGGCCCAAGGCAGCCTGCCCACAGTGGTTCTGAATCCACAAGCCAGTCTAACTAGCACAATACCTCTCTCGCTCAGCGAGGATGCAAAAACAGCCAGCAGCAACGTCTCTCCATTGGATTTCATCAGTCTTCCAGAGGCCTTGAAGAATCCAGATAACACTCCGTTGCTGCCTACAAACTCAATGTCCTCACCCACCATCTCTACTGCTGTCATCTCTCCCACGTCTCTTCCTTCAGTGGCACTGGTCCCAAATAGTATTCCTGCATCAACAGCTGGTTCCATGAGTTCAGTCATCTCCAGTCACATGGTGCCACTACTGCCCACACAGCCACCTGAAATTGTTGTAATAGGAAAAGCTGAGTCTCAGTCACCAATTCGCAGCTCCATCTCTAGCCCTCAGGTGCTGTCTTTACCCCAGGTGGTTCCATCAATACAGGGCGTTCCAGTTTCTCAACTGATGCAGCATCCATCTGGGGCCACAGTGTCATCCTGCCCCCAGCTTGTTCCAGTCTCCCCGGTCAATTCACAGTTACCCCAAGTCCCCATTCCTCAGTTTCAGACACAGACCTTGCACATTGGTCCAAGACTTGCGCAAGCACAGCCCCAATATGGCTCGAACACATTAAGCACCAGTAGTGCTTTATCACTCCCCCAGATGGCTGATGGGCAAATTACACAAGGGCTTACACCTCAGCTAGGAGACGAATCTACTTCAGCCACCCTTCCACAGATACAGACCTCCATGGGAACACAAGTCATTCCCATCTCCTCGCCGACACAAGTTGTGCCCATATCCCAAACCAAAGACTCGGGCCAACCGCAGCTGGTCCCCCTGTCACTGCCCCAATTTATGCCTGTGTCATCCATTGCGGGAACTCCAACTGGAACCCTGTCCTTTCCTCAGGTGGTCCCAGCAACACCATCTCTCTCCATTCCGTCCCCTGGAGGTGCTTTCCAGTTTCTGACATCTGGATCTGGAACAGGATTGAGTGTTGCCCAAGGACCGATACGCCTTAGTCCAATAGGGCCTCCTCAGAGTGTCCCTACTGGTACCATCCCAGGTGTTCAACTTCTCAACTCTGGGGTGATTCACCTACCTTCTGCCTCTCCAGGTAGGTCACAAAAAGAATTTAATCAGGAGTGGAAAACAGTTGCTTGTTTGGTTCTGAAATGCATTTATTCTGTTTTTGTCTCCAGGCAACATCCTACTAGCAGGTGGCATTGGAGGCAGCCCCATCCTAAGTGTTCAAAATGGCAAACTCATCCTCACTATCCCAGCTGGCATCCAGTTCGCCAGCATGCCTGTCAAGTCCGTCCCAGACAATTTGGTCTCAAGTACCCTTGATCCTCAAACCTCAGCTGTATATCCACTTGAAAATCAACCAGCACCTTCACTCACTGCTCAAACCTCATATTCACTACAATCATCTCCTTTGGGGTTTGTTGGCTCCTCTACACTTTACTGCAGCCCTGAGCCAGGAACAATTGCCAACCCAACCCCAGGAGCCTCTCCTGACATCCCAGACTCTTCTAGCACTCCCACTCCTACAAGTGTCCTACAATTCCAGCAGACCCTTAGCCCTGATAGCATGCTCCCGCTCAGTCCAATATGTATCGGTGTGGCAACTGGCCACCAACTCTCCCAGCCAGCCTGGAGCCCGCTGTCCTCCTCTGCTGGTCTGACATTATTTGACATGCGTGGGAAAGGAGATCTTCCAGAGGACCCCGCTTTGTTAGGTTTGCCAGGAGGAGAGTCCCTCCTGTTGGGCACTCCTCCTCCAGGCGAAGATGTAGAGAGAGATTCTCAGCTGGATGAGGTGGAGGACATGGATGGGGACTCGAAAATTCTGACACAACTGCAGTCTGTCCCTGTGGATGATGATCTGGGTTTGTAATCACCAGTCCTTCTGACAAACTACAAGATGCAGTTAATGTTAAATCTCAACCTGCAAGACTTGCATTTGACCATGTGCCAGAAGTGAGAGGAACTGTGATTTATGACCTCAGAGGTTTGGAGTCTTTCCCCACTCTTCCTTATGTAGATGGAGTTTTAAGTAGCGGAAGTATTCAACCTAATAATGGAATCGTAGAAAAGAACCTCTCTTTTATAAATGGAATTCATTTGTGAAAACTATACATTTAGCAAGGGCATGACCATAGAGGTTTAACTACAGTAGAGGGAAGGCACTGCCATTTTGTCACAGAGGACATTTGCATAACCGACATTCACCTCTAGGAATCTAAGGCTGTGTCTACATGTTAGCCCTTTTTTGATGATACACATAGCTTGAGGCATGTTACAAGGACTTACATGACTCCCTAAGTGGTAAAAAGGCACTAATATGCCAGAGGCAATCAATTTGTTTTATCTAGGAGTGAAGAGCATGTGGGAATGCCTTCTTTTGTGCCTTACATTTTTGTTACTTCTCAGTTTTATAGATTAAATGACTCTGACAAGTACTTTTATCTTTTAAGAAGAGAAACAAGTCATATTAGGTTTCCCTCTGAGAGGCAATATAATAGAGGTACATGTTTATGCTGGTCACAAAACTGTTGTCTTGGAGTGAAATAAGTCAACTCAAAAAGTATGAAATGAGTCTGAACATGAGCTAGTCATCCTGTCAGACATCCTGCACAGGTGGCTCCCAAAGATACCTGGATGCACCAACAGCACCCTGCACTGGGAGAAGGAAATCAGATTTCAGTAAACTCACAACACTGGGTGGAAGATAAGACTTGGTTGATAAACTAACCTTTAAATGTGCCTGTGACCGCTACATTGGATATACTACATCCTCACTGCTCAGTTCAGGTGCCGTTTTAATTGTTTTTTTGCTTTAATGTTCAATTGGCTTAAGTACCTTATATAGGTGAGTAGATGGTGCATGTGTCTGATTTGTTGATGCAAAATGCTTGGATTTTGAACATTACATTTCGAACACACAGTGAAGCACTCTGTTGTTTTATATTCCATGTATACAGTATCTTGCAGCATACATTTATGATGGCACACTAAACTGACCATGGATATCCTATACTTGTAGTATGATAGATAATTGACATTGGTTTCCATAGATAAACCATTGAGCTTACCCAAGCATTCCAGCTCATTACCATAAAACTGTGCATAAACCTAATAGGCTTGAGTGTTTGAAGGGAATTGAAGTACTGAATATTTGTCTATGCAACTGTTCCACATGAATCCTAAGATTTGTTTACTGTTTAAAACAGCCACTTCTTACACTACAAATCCATCATGTACATATACAGTGAAATGTGTTTTGTTTTTATTCTGTTTATCTTGTCTTTTTATATTTCAAAATCAAATATTTTAATTGTAGAATTTCCACATAGCTTCAGGAAATGTCTGTTTTTGCGCTTTCCCCGCTTGATTCTTATCAAATGCAATTTAGGTGATTCAAAGCTACAAGTATGACTTTTTCAACAGGTCATTATCACTACTACCAAAGTGGTTTGCTTATTGCAGAGCGCAGCTCTGTATATTTTGCACATTTTATCCTTTTTATTCATGGAGCTTTTACTTTTTTTTTTTTTTTCTCTGGCCCCACAAAATTTGGTGCCATTTTTAAACCATTCAAATACAATAAGGCTTGGCCTGTGAGATTTTGACTGGTGTACAGTAGTCACCCTTAGTAGTCACTCTAGCCTTAAGTATACCTGTCGCTATATGTTTTTCTTTAAGAATATTTAATGCATTTATCAATGATTTCGGGGTCATTTAACCTTAAAGCTGTTTCCCTCATTCTAGCTTAGGTTTACACTCCATTTTGTGATATAACACAAAAGAGATTTTGCTATGTGTAGCGTCTTTTTTTAAATTTCTTTATGAAAGTGTTTGTATTTTACACATTTATATTACATAGGACTTGTTGCATTGACTTTTGCCAAAGTTTTTTTTCTTCTTCTTTCAAGCACCTGGACAATGTTTTAACTTTTTTGGAAAGTAAGGGAATGTGTGCGTTTGTGTTTGTCCCTGAGTATTGCTATTACTCCTCCAGAATGTAATGATTACTATGTTAATGCACATGTATTTTAGTCAGTAGAGATATATTTGTTTGTTTTATTCACTCTTTAATACTTTCACTTCACTTTCATGTACAAACATAAAAATATGCAGCTGATCAAACCAAAGAGTTTTTTTTTTCTTGATCATTTCATTTAGTAAAGGGAGTTTTTGTCATTATTGTAAACGTCTCTTTTTATAGAGGTGTGTTTTGTATCTTATAGTTATTTTATTTTTTATATTCCATTTTGTGATATGTAATAAACATATATAATGCTATCTGAATGCTTTTTGTTTGAAATTAATCTGAAGTTATTTGTGAAGTTTCATGTAAAAAAAAAAAAAAAAAGCTGACCTCATCATTTGTAATCAAAATGTCATATCTCAATCTTCTGGTGATGTATGCCGAACTCTTCCAATCATTTTGTCCTCTTTTTCAGTAATCCGTTTCACTCAGATATGCATCACAATGCAGCAAAAAGATGTGCCGCTACTTTAGTTTCATCTTGGCTTTAAAAAAAAGCTCTTTTTGTGACCCAAAAGATAGCATATCAATACAGCAGCAGATTTTAATTGGCTTTAATGCAACAGTGTCAATCTTAGTGTATTCTAAATTTCAACAAAAATAGAAAAAAAAAAAAACTGAAATCCAGTATCTCCTTAAGTTTATTACGAATATCCATTAGACCCTTGACATGGTCTTTTGGCTCATAATGGTAACAGCTCAGTGACTAAGGAACGTAAAAAAGAAGATCTATCTCTCTTAAGTCACGTTAAATACTACTCACAGATTCGTAAAACAAGAGTATCTCAATGTCTTGTATACTGACCTTGTAAAGTGCACCACCACTGCCTTTCCCCAACACAGCTTGAATGAACAGCATTTCAAATGCAGTTCATCAGCAAATACTGTACAAATGATGATTAATGAGCTAAATGAAAAGTCATTAAACGAACTTCACTCTGAGTTCCACTTCAAAGCCATATCAAATGAATGATATGAAATCACAAACTTATGGTCTAACAGTCTCTTAAAGGATGAAATTAGGGCTCATATATAGCTGCCGTAACATGAGTGTTTGTCCTATTATGACATATGGCTCTTTTCAGCAGAAAAATATATGGATATCTTCAGCATGTACCATTCACACTCCAAATAAACACATCATTATGCTATGTGTCTCTTTGGTCATTCTGATCTATGGCTCTGTTATTATTATTACTACTATTACAGTCTGCTGTAGGATGATCATTATAGCATGTTTATAGGCTCAGATACTCAGCCACGAAGATGGCCAGGATTCTAGTTAGGTTTTCCACCGTGGGCCTGTGCATCCTCTCCTCTGCATCATCCAGTGTGTGCCAGAACACAGGAAACGGTGTGGGGATCAAGTGAAGCACAGGTACACCTGGTTCAGGGGTATAAACAGAACAAATTAAACTTGTTTGATCCATTTGCTTTATGTTGTTTGCACAACAAAAGTAAACACAACATTTGAATTTTATATAGGCTACACTACTGGTGCGTTCAAGTCATGTCGGATAGATCGTATTTACGAGTTGAACGCACATGAACGCCACCACAAAGTCGTTATTACGAGTGGGAAACTCAATTTTCTTTAAGCCCCGAGTTTCCGAGTTGGGGGCGTGTCAATGAGAAACATGGCGGAATCGATGGATGCAACGTCTGTAGTTGACGGTAAATTTTTGTTTAAATTGATAGTTTAGTTGTCCTATAAAGATTGCCAAAGTAAAACATAAATCACAATACTTATAGGTATTAAGCAGTGACATTGTCAGGCTATTTATTTACAAAAAATAAGCTTTTTGAATGTGGCAGGATTGTAATATAACAATTAATAACAAGTTTTAATGCAATACAGATTAAAGTGGCTTCATAAATTACTTTTTAAAAATATTAAAAACGCAAAACACACCTGATGCGAATTCTTTGCTCTTCATTTTCTATAAGCAGAGTTAACAGACCCTGTTGTATTTTCTTGTAATTTATTAAAAGAAGGTACACCGCCATCTTGTGCCGACTAAACCGACTTGAACGCACCTGACGTCGTAATTACGACTTGTCAACTCGTAAGTACGAACGTCCCAGGAGGACTTGAACGCAGCATACTATTCAAAAGGTTGGGGTCAAAGATTTTTTAAATGTTTTTGAAAAAAGTCTCTTATCATTAAGGCTGCATTTATTTGATCAAAACACAGTAAAACATTGATATTGTGATATTTATTTGAATATATTTTAAAATGTAATTTATAGCTGTGATGTTAAAGCTGATTTCTCAGCAGCCATTACAGCAGTCTTCAGGGTCACATGATCCTCAAGGAATATTTATTATTATTATCAATGCTTCTTTTTATTATCAATGTTAATTCTTAATATTTTTGTGGAAACTATGCTAATTTTATTCAGGATTCTCTGATGAATAAAAACAGCATTTATTTGAAATATAAATCTTTTGTTAGGCTATAAATGTCACTTTTGATCATCTGAATGCTTCCTTGCTGAAAAAAAGTCTTAATGTATTTAAAAAAACGCTTACTGACCCCAAACTTTTGAATAGTAGTGCATGTTGTCTGACTGTTTACTGACCTCTGTTTAAAAATGGAATGTGATCATCCTGCACGGGACCAAGATAAAAATCTTTCCTGAAGTAACTCTGTTCTGATGGGTGAGATGTCAACAAACCCTGTTTGTGGAGTCTCTTCTCTGAAAGAGAAGCAGAGAGGGATGCTGGCTGACTTCATGCATTTTTAGGCTGCAACCCAATCTGGGTTGTTTTGAACTTATACCTGCAGCGATCAGTCGGTCAAACCATCTGGCTGTGTTATCAAAGTGATTGACAATCAATGGTTCTGGGCCACCAAGCAGGTCCAGCAGGACTAACAGATCCTGGAAGGAAAATAGAGAATTTCAACATTTAAAAAAATACATTAAATAAATAAATACCTACCTACCTATAATGTAAATAAATATTCAATTAAATATTAAAAATGTTTCTCTAGTGTGACACACAATTATTTAAAATAAAATGTAAATACAAGTCTATTACTACTATAATATTACTACTGTAAGGTAAAATAAAATCAGAATAAAAAAATATTTATAATAAAATACAATTAAATAAACTCGTTATTAATAAAATAATACATAACATATATTTTTTAAAAATTAAATACAATTTTTTTTTAAATTAAAAATAAAAATATACTTTTACTTCATGTAATTGCGCAGGGTGTTTTTGTGTACATACCAATAGATTCATGTTTTAATTCATATATATGAATACAATTAGTTTTGTAGCTGATGTATCCAGGTTTTATCAATGAACCTGTATTGAATGTTGAATCGAAGTTACAAGGAGGTCTTAAAATATTTGAAACGGGTATTAAAAACTATTAAATTTGACTGGCAAATACCTTCAGATACCCTGAACTAAAAACCTCTCATCCAGAAATATTCTTTACCATTAATAACACAGCATAATATATGAAAAACAAACAGATAGACTGATCCCAGTACTGTACACACAACCTCACCACTGCCTGGAGAAGAGTGGTTTTGGTGGATCCAGAAGGGTGGGGAGTACGGGCCATAAGTTCAGCCAGATGACGAGAACCGTAGAGAGAGTCTGTTTCTGTCCATTCCTCAAATGCCTCCTCTCCATCAAAAAACACCAACTGCAATGTCACCGCAGACCTCTGAAGAGAAAGACATAAAGAGAGGATGCAGTTAGTCTGTAATGTGTTTTGACACTGTCACATCTCATAATGATGTACAGTACACACTTAAGGCTTGATTCAGCACTGTGATGCAGCTGATTCTTGTTAAATATGTTTTCAAATGATTCTCAGAAAACATCTAGAAGAACCCTTTTCCTCATGATTGTGATCTACCTGCAGTTTTAGAGCTTTAAGCCGTGTGTCCAGAGCAGTGGCCAGCTCCAAGATCATAGCACAGGGTATGGCTGAATCACTGGCACCCACAAACACCCGCTTGGGGTTTTTAGGGTCTGCGGGTAAGATCTTGGAGTCATGGTGGCATGCTAGGAGCAGCCTGCGAGGAGTCGAGGGGTCCAGAACTGCTAGCACATTGGTGAAGGTCACTTTACCCTTCGGGGTGGATGAAACGAAAGAATTCTCCTCCAGTGTCCATCCTGCTGACAGTGAACCCAGCTGGGACAAGATATGCTGTAGTTGGAAGAGGTGAGAGAACTTTAATGACCTTCACTGCATGCTTATCAGAAGAAGATAATTAAAGGAATAGTTCACTCAAAATTGAAAGTTTGCTGAAACTTATCTCCTGAGCGCAATCTAAGATGTAAATGTTGAAGAAATGTAGCATTACTTCACTCGCTCATCAACGGATCCTCTGCAGTGAATGGGTGCCGTCAGAATGAGAGTCCAAACAGCTGATAAAAAACATCACAATAATCTACACGACCCTAGTCTATCAATTCATATTTTGTGATGTGAAAAGCTGCATGTTTGTAAGAAATAAATACATCAAGGCTTTTTAACTTTAAACCAATGCTTCTGGCCAAAATAGTCCATAATCCATAATAATGCTTTCTTCACTGAAAAAGTCCATTCTCTGTTGTTCTAACATCAAAATTCACCAACACATTTGTTTAGAACTGTAAAATGGTGTTTTGAACTTGTAAATAGTGCTTGATTTGTGCATATATCTTCTTATATATTCTTGATTCAGACGAGATGACATTTTCACTGGAGAAAGCAATATGTGACCCTGGACCACAAAACCAGTTATAAGTGTCAATTCAAAATGTATACATCATCTGAAAGCATCAAAAATTAAGTTTTAATATATTTACAGTAGGAAATTTACAAAATATCTTCATGGAACATGATCTTTACTTAATATCCTAATTATTTTTGGCATAAAAGAAAAATCGATAATTTTGACCCATACAATGTATTTTTGGCTATTGCTACAAATATACCCCAGCGACTTAAGACTGGTTTTGTGCTCCAGGGTCACATAAAATAGAAGATTCATATTTTTTATCAACGGTTTGAGGTTAAAAAATAGCTTGATGCATTTACTTCTTACAAACACACAGCTTTTCGCTTCACAATATGTTTTTTAATTAACTGGGGTTGGGTTGATTACTGTCATGTTTTCATCAGCTGTTTGAACTCTCATTCTGACGGCACCCATTCACTGCAGAGGATCTATATTGGTGAGCAGGTGATGTAATGGTAAATTTCTCCAAATCTGTTAAGATGAAGAAACAAACTTAACTACATCTTGGATGGCCTGCAGGTGAGTACATTTTCAGCAAGGAAGGTAATCACACTGTGATTGAAGATGTTTAGATAGCAGTAGAACATGTATTGTTCAGGCTGAGGCGTTACCTGCCGTATGGTCTGACTGCCTGCAGTCCCGGGCACTCGTACATTTAGCAGGGGCCGCAGGTGAGTCTCCCAGAGCCGATGCCCGTCCACCTGTGCTGCAAACTTCTTTATTTGTGCCACAGAGTATTTATTTGGCTTATGGGCATTCTGCAGAAAGGAAGAGGTGAGCATATGATCATATTCATCTTGTCTAAAAAGGGTGTGCAGTCCTCTTCCTGACAGGCCCCCTTCCTGCAGAATTTAGCTTTAACCCTAGCTAAGCAAACCTGAGCCAGCTAATCAAAGTCTTCAGGATTACTAGAAACTTCACAGTAGGAGCAGATTGGGCTGTGAAGGCAAGGGCCACATACTGACAATATGACTATACTTGTGTGCTATATGATATTGTGCGCAAATACATTGCACAATTTGCCTATTTTACATTGGGGTTTTCTTTATTGGAGCATCTGTGCCTATTTGCTTTATTGAAAACAGCAATGTAAATATTCTGATTAACGTCTACCTTTTTCCTCCATGGAAGAAACCAGTGTTATTTTAATATTATTTATATTAATACTTAGATGAATATGAATTAGATTTTGAGCATTTTTAGTTACATTTTCATTTTAGTTAACTTCAATATTTTTTAATGTGCGTTTGCCATTGAAATTTTTTTTATTACTATTTTTGTTCTTAAATATTACTATTTAGGTTTAATTTATTATTATTTATGTTTTAGGTCAATTTTAGTTTACTTAATTCTAGTTAGTTATTTCAGTGCTTCAGCTTCAAGTTCTTTTATTAAGTTGCCTAAGCAACAATTCTAATTTTTGTTCATTCGTTTCTTTCTTTCGATCAACAATTTCAATTTCACTCAAAACAATGAGTCTGCTTTTAGCTATTATGCTACCCGCAGTTGAAACCAGCTTCCAGAAGAGATCAGATGTGCTAAATCAGTTAAATCCAGATCCAAAACACATCTGTTCAGCTGCGTATTCACTGAATGAGAACTGTGCTACGTCCAAACTGATTGCATTGTATTTTATGTACCATCATCTTTTATTCTACCTTGTTTTAATTTATTTGAAATTCTTTTATTGTTGTGATTATTTAAATTCCTTTTATGTAAAGCACTTTAAATTACCATTGTGTATGAAATGTGCTTTATAAATAGACTTGCCTTGACTTCCCTAATAGCTTTAGTTAACGACATTAACCTTGCAAGTAAGTCAATCATGAGGATGGAACGACATAATTCAGGAGTAAATAATACATTTTTAGCAACTCAGAATTGCACTGCTCTTCGTAACATGTCGTGGGAATGCACGAACTCATTCCAGCTCAGTGTTAACTCACCCTGTCCCTGATGAGATGTGCAGCATGCTGCTGTAGGCTGCTGGAGGGCTCTGCAGACAGATACAGCGCCAGGATCAAAGCCAGCGACAGCGCGCCGCAGAGACACAGCAGCAGCACGCGCGCAAACGCCGCTCTCAGCGGACCGCATCCTGCCAGCGCGTGCCCGTTATTCACGTGCAAAGCTTTGGCTCTTCGGCCGGCTCTTGACATTTTGTCGCGGCGTTGACGGCTGACTCCCGGTTAAAGATGCTGGGAGCAACGGCGAAAGGCGTGTCCCTCCAGCTTCGGCACTGACCGCGCGCCAAAGGACACGTCAGTACTTTAACCGGCCAGTTTGTCCACTATATCGCGCTGATGCTGTATAAAACACCCATTTAGAAGACATTTCAGAGCCTAACGAAACGGGCAATGTTTTACTAAAGTGTTTTCCAAACGAATACTCAGCCCGAGCTGTGTCAGGTCCTCTTGAATTGCATCGTAAACAAGAACCAGAGACGACTTTTACTCTACAAACATTACTTTTCCCGTTCAAAACGTCACATTTCACGTTTATAAAGCGATTTTACATTTGTTAAAAAAAGAACTTCGATACCACCAGTCTGTAATAGCAAAAGATACGCAAAGTATACACTGTTTGCGCCTTTCCGTCTGGAGTCACTAAGCTGTGTCTATAAATCATGCAATCACTGAATGAACTCTCTCAGTCTGTCAACACTTGAGCTGGACTTCAGCCGCTCTGCCCTAGAAAGCCAGTCACCGCCTACATCAGCAGCATTACTCTCGCATCTGAAGTCGCTAGATGTTTATAATACTTGTGCATGGCGAACTAACAGAAGCCGTGTCGTCCTTTTCTAATTTCTTCTTTTATTCAGGCTTGTAGTGGGGCTGAACAGTCTGCTGCAGCCTCTTGGCTGCGCTTCCGCCATGGTGACGTCACTCTGGTTGAGGTAGCACGTCATCTTAAAGGGACAGGCGCTCAATGTTCGCTTGCTGCGTCGATGTCGGAATGATCGTATTTACACAGGTTGAACGATGTAAACGTTATTCTTAAAGTTATTATTATATTATTATTATTCTTGTATGCTTATATAGAAGTTACTCATATATTTACTTGAAAAAATAATCAAGGAAGATGTCACACAGACAGTGTTGTCAAGTCCGCGATTTTCCCGTGGAATTGGGCTACTTTAACACTGTTGCTGTGGGTTGTTTTTGATGTCCACGGGTTGAAGCGACCCCAATAACCCCGCCAAAAAACATGTATTTTACACCTCTGAATGTGATTTTTACCGGGGGACCCCCCTCGAAATGCCATTGGGCTAGTTTTGGGCTAGTTTTGAGTAGCAATTGGACGGATTTTGTTGTGAAAACCTGGCAACCCTGATGTCACAGCAAAGGGTTCGAATTGAGGGGGGATGGCATCCCCCTGGTGGAAAAAATGACCAAAAGTATGACCCTCAAACCATCCCCTTTAGATTAATAATGTTGTGTATTATGTCAAATTTATTGTGCAAATTAAATGTTAAAATTCTCTACTTATGATAATTCACGAACTAAATAACGGCGATTGGCCAATCAGAACTCGGTAAGTTACTGTAACAAGCTCTGCACAAGCTGAAGCAAGTTTTCGTCATTTTTCGTGCAAAATGGTTCAAGCGCAACTTTTGAAGTTCTTTAAAAAGAAGACAACAGAAGGTATGATTTTTCCTTGATTAGAATTTAAAGACATTCCCCTGACATAATGTCATTGTGCTGTATGTGTGACTGTGAAGGACTGAGAGAGACGATAGGAGAGCTGACGAGTGTAACCGACTTTTAAAAAAACAAACAAAAACAAGTCTTGAGAGTCTAAAAGCATTCACTACGCGATGAAGCCCATTCGAATGCAGTTAGAATCCCCTTATAATTCAAACAGTGAAAGAAAAAAATACCCATGTATGAGTTTTTATGTTTTTTATGTTCATTGCACAAGCAATGTACTTTTCTGAATATCGGCACATAAATATGCTAATAATTTTATACAACAGTGTAGAGCAACGCGATGTTTCATTCCTTGAAGGAATCTGTTTTTGAACGAATCATGTGAGCCAGTGATTCAACGGTCCATTCACTTGTTTCGTTTCTAATTGAATCAGCCGTTCACCCACCACCACACCCAGGCAGGCAGCAGTGGGGGCCCCGACTCGAGAGAGGTCATGTCAGAGCGGTGACACAGTAAACCAGTTACCAAGACTTGTTTCGTTTCTAATTGAATCAGCCGTTTTGAACGAATCGTTTGATTTGAATGATTCAGTAAATCATTTATTAAAACGGGGATTTGCTGCCACCTACTGGCGATTTTATTGTCATCTTTATTTATCCATGACAGTCCTAAACCAACCAAGGTGCCAGCACAAAAACACATTCAGCAAAATATTGTTTAATTAGCAGTATTGACCAAAATTCCTCCATTTCAGGCCCCAGAAGGAAAAAAGAGCTTACAATAATAGTTTGTTTAATAAGGCAAATTTTTCATTAAATAAACCCCTTTTTAGACAAATTTTTTAATCATTGTGTAAAATTAGCTATGGGACAGGTTTAGGTTTAAACCATAATTTGACAGGTACAATTTTTCGTTGGTGAATTGTACTACCTGCTGTTTTAATGGGACGTAGCAAAATCTGACAGGGTAGCACAAATCGACCGAACAAACGTGGCCGAAGTTTTTAGCAATGCATATTACTAATCAAAAATTAAGTTTTGATATATTTATGGTAGGAAATTTACAAAATATCTTCATGGAACATGATCTTTACTTAATATCCTAATGATTTTTGGCATAAAATCAATAATTTTGACCCATACAATTGTTGGCTATTGCTACAAATATACAAATATACGTGCTACTTATGACTGGTTTTGTGGTCCAGGATCACAAATATACTAGATATTACAATTAAGATAAGACTTTATAATAAATGTTAGTTCAGTAGCATTAGGACAATAAAGAACAATATATTTATATATTGTTAATTCATGTTTGTTTAGATCACAGTGTTTAAACAAAAATGAAAAAAGTCTATGTAATAATCAGAGTTGCCATACCTTTATACTGCTTTTTTTTTAGTCCGGAACATGATGTTGACCGAGGCGGGATCCCTCGGAAGGCCGACCCCCTAGAATGCAATTTTGATAGCCATTTTCTCCCGAAATGCACTGGGCTAGTTTTGAGTACCAGTTGATCTGGTTTTGTTACGCGGACCTGGCAACCCTGGTAATGATCCTAGCATTAAAAGCTTCATATACATGCACAACAATGAATTTGTCTCTCATTCATTCATTCATAAATGAATAAAGATAATCATTTATGGGAAATAATTACATTTTTATGTATGTTTACATATGCATTATATATATTTAATTATTAATATTGTCATCAATACACCAACATGTAAAGCATATATATTTTGAAATAATTGTTTCTAAATTTTGAATGATTTTCCTACCTTAAATTAGGGATGCCTTCTATTTATCGTGCTATACGCATTTATGACCAGCAGAGGGAGCAAGTAATAACAGTCAACCCCACAACCTTCCGGTGGGAGGCGCTGTTGTTCTCTGTGGGGCAGCAGAGGCTCGGCATGGAAGCGTTCCATCCGTTTATGTCAAAGCGTTCAACAATTAACATCAAACTCATTTCAGTTATAACTTAACATAAACGTTAAATGATCGAATGGGTCAAAACTGACAAGTTTCGCCAGTTAAGAACACCACAATAACACGTTTGCATCAGTGAGACAAAGAGTTCTCAATGAAGATGGCCTAACTTTTCCCCCAAACACCACCACAGTGTGTTTACGTCCATAAAACTATTCATCTGGTTTTCGAGACAAATTCAAACTGCATTTCGCAATGTTTCCTGCAGCAGCGCAAGAATTAAACAGGGTACACAGAAAAAAGAAAAAAAAAAAACAGTTACACAACTAATGAGCATAATTTATATAGAATTGGTGCCATTGCTATGGTTTTAGGTGTGAAAGGAATATTTCACCCAAAAGTGAAAATCCTGTCATCATTTACGAAATCAGTCAGTTGCTGGTCCCCAGTGAATTTCTTAGTATGGAAATAAAATACTGAGAGTCAATGGGGTCCAGCAACTGTTTGGTTACCCACGTTCTTCAAAATATCTTCTTTTGTGCTCATCAGAAGAGAGAAACCCATACAGGTTTGGAACAACTTGAAGGTGACAGAATTTTCATTTTAGAGTAAACTAGCCCTTTTTTGCAAGCTTTGTTTCAATAAATGAACTTTTTAGACTTGTATTCCTCATAAAGTGAACCTGTCAAGGATACAGACTTTAACAACATAAAGTGTACTAACGAGCCGGCATTTGTACATCTTTGCTCTTCCAGTGTAGCATAAAATATCAGTCAAATAAAATAATGCTCAAGAATGTTATCATTATGAAATATTTTAATATATTTTTTTTTTATAAAATAATGAAAACATAATTTACACATCTTAAATGTACACTCATTGATACAACATCCCCAAAAGAAACTGAATGATTAATCAGTTATCAATAGTTAATCGAGGCATTAGAGCCACTGTTTCATGCATGAAGCTAACGGAAACAGAGACAGAAAGATGAATTACAATAAAGGTTCTTTAAAAAAAGAAAAGAAATAAAAGCGTAAAATCAGCTTTGTACAAAAGATCGTGAATCAAACAAAATATAAAGGACAAACTCAGTACCCTCCAATAATGTTACCAAATCTTGTAATTTTCACCTTGAATTTGACATTCTGTATTAAAAAAAAACAAAACAAGAAGAAAAGAATCAAAATAAATAGTCAAAATATTACACATAAAAATAAACCTTCAATTACAGCTGGACTATATAATTTGCCATGATTTAAGAATGCGCAACACAGATGCACATAGATGTTCTCACAAGTATATTACTCCTATTTACCTTTTAAAAATAAAAAAGAACTTAATAAAAACACCTCCACCCAACTATCAAACAAACAGAAATCATAAGACAATCCATGGTGTAGATATGACACCCAGTAACCCAGAACTGAGTGAGTCTGAAAGACCCCCCACTTCATTGACAGAAAAACACACAGTGGGTCAAGTTCTTGTAGTCACAGCAATGCGATGAGAATCTGATAAAACTGTAAAAATGGATCTAAAACAGTGGGGCAAATGAGCTTATCATTCTGATCATTTGATTTCGCAAGTCTGTATATAGACTTTTATTTAAAGGTATAGTCCACCCAAAATCTCATTCTCATGTTGTTCCAAACCTGTATGACTTGCTTTCATCTGTGGATCTTGAACAAACACAATGGAAGTCAATGGGAACCAAAACTGTTCAGTTCTTCAGAATAACGTCTTTCATGTTCCATAGAAGGAATAAAGTCCAATAGGTTTGGAACAACATGAGGGTGAGTAAATGAAAGAATTTTCATTTTTGGTTGGACTATTCCCCAAGTGGGGAGAACATGTAACATGTTAGATATCAGCAGTTATCAAATCACTGTATGTACAGTCACACTACTAAAGGTCTTTGTATCTCTCAGCCCATAAATAAAGAAAAACCTTTGCGTTTTACAATGCTATTTACTGTCATAAGCATGTATATAGTTGTTTTTGTGTGTCTGAGTAAAGCAGACACATTCTATTTTCACTTATATTAGCTATGATGACTAGTATAAAGTCAACCGACTGTTGCAGTGCTTTTGTTTTGACGTGGATAAATAGGTCAGAGACGAATAGATCAGGTCATCGAGAGGGCAGCTTACGGGTCCTGAGAGAGGAGGAGATCTTTTTTCCAGTCGCATCAGGTTAAAGGGATGGAGAGAGCTGATATGAGTGCTAAATTACAACACATCACTGGTCACAGCTGACCACTTTAAGGCAGACATGTACAGAGTAACATGGGGTACATGATAAACCATATTCGATCCAGCCTGATTGTTATTCCAGTTAGAGCGCATAACCGAGTACAGCGTGGATCGTCTTAGTATGTAAACACCATGATCTGTCTAGAAGTTGAAAACAGCTATCTATTGCCAACAGTCGTTTCACCTGATAAACCTGAACTAAATACAAATAGAAAAATAGAGTCTGTATGGAACACAGCTAACTAGGGTTTCTTAGTGTCGGCTTTGCATATACCTATACATATACAGTGTCGAAATCCAAGTTTACACACAGTGCTATGCCAAAACCATACATAAGAGAGCAAGTGGCATTTCCTGTCACATGACGCTGTCACTTAAAGACTGAGCGATGTCCATGCACAGAGGAAACGATCAAAGACTTGGGTGTAACATCACAGTTTTAGTAGTGCTTGCTATCCCTGGTCAGAAAGCGGCGGCGGTTCTCCATCTCTGGAGAAGTGAAGATCTACAGAGCCATTATTGCAGAGTTTCAGTCACTACAGGAAGTCTGTTGGATGATAAATCAGCTGAGATGAGGATGGTTTGAACTATAAATATGAACACAATGTACCTGCACATGAGATTGTGCGATGTAGAATTATAATTTACAGTGACATGTTATCTGCGAGTCGTTCCTTTTTCCTCACAATTACAGTACCGTGATTTCTCTCAACGTTTTGGGAAAGGTAGGGTCTCTCACGTGGCTCAGGTGTCGATTTTCTGTTGCTTTTTTTTGGCTGTTGAGCTGACTGTGCAGTAAATAGGCCTCTCTGATGTTTAGCGTCTCGCAGTTTTACTGGCTCAAGCTTAGTGTCGACTCGTCGAGTACAAAAATAAATCTACACTGAGAAAATAGTTCCGAAAGTAGTTCGATCAGATGAGGAGCTCGCTCGTTTCAAGGTAGGAATCGTGTGTTTGTTTGCTTGTTTAAAAATAGACATTTGTACTTCTGTACCGGCTTTAAGTTAAAGATTTGAAGTCTCAAGTCATCAGGCAGATTTCGGTTTCCTTCCGTCACACTTTCGTAAAGCTCACAGTTTTGGAGTGTGGTGAGGATCTAGATGAGGGCGAGCGGGACAGTGGATGTACTGGACAATAAGAGACTGTGAAGTAAATTAGCTGTTGGCACTGAACGTGCCATATTAGGCAAATCTCATCTCCTCTCAAATGAAAGGGACAGTCATTTCCTCTCGGGCATGGTAGAGGATAAGAGTTTGCTGAACTTGCGGAGCTGTTCACTGGCTGAGTGCGATTCCTCCTGCAGACGCTGGTTGTTCTGCCTCAGATTAGCCATCTCTGCTAATAACGTGGACTTGTCCTGTTTCTCCTGAGAGGATGGGACAGGAAGGAACAGAGGAGAGGAAGAGAGAAACATAATTACGAGGATGTCACCAAAAATGGCCAAGTTACTATAAAATCAACAGTTTCACTTTTATTTTCTTTCACTTTGAATTTCTAAAGAGAACTGTACATTTTATTGGCCAGGGTGAACTGCACAAATAATGCGCAGACTTTAAATAAAGACTAAAACAGTTGTCAGAAGCTCAATGGCGGTGGCGTTGAAGTCATGTGACCATGGTGTAGGTTTATGTTTATAGCTTAACTTTGGCTTTTTACATCTGCTGATTGTATTAAAGCTTCAAAAATGTTTAAAGTTGTGTTCATTTGTGAAGGAATCATAAACCTTTGTTTGTCATTGTTTATTTTCTGCAACCCAAAAGCCAATGGAAAAATGCTATTGGCTTTTTGTTGAGGGAACCAGCGTGATGAATAAAAACACATCATCCCTGCAGCGCTCTATTGATATGCTTCATGATATGGTGGAAAGTTAACACTATCAGATCGGTTCTTGAATAAAATATAAATTTGACAAATGTGTCATACTTCAACTTTAAATAACTTCATTTCAACTTGAATTAACATTTTCAAGCAACTGACTACTTTATGTGCTTGAATACTCAGCAACAAAATTACTCAAAATACCCGTCCCTAGTGAACCTGTCCTGCACTGGTCAGGTTCCTTCAATGTAACTCACTTTTTCCAGATCATTGTTCAGCTGTTTCAGCATGACTTCCAGATGATATAGACGGCCAGACAGGTCATTGGGAACCTCTTCACTGCAACACACAAATTAAAAACAAGTTAATACCAGTATACTTGCATATAAATTCTTATTCCAAATATTTAAATACTTAATCCATTATTGAAGGAATGAGTTGATTTGAGGTTAAGCAAACTTCATGCAGACTTGCAGAGCCAACATTGTGCCCTAACTACTGTTAAACCCTACACTGCAGAGAACTCAGAGGAAGAGCAAGTATATACAGTACAGGTGTATGTTTGTCTGTCTTACCTGCTGAAAGTAGGAGTGGTGCGGGGAGTCTGTGGCGTGTGGAAATGCACCGGGCTGATGACGGGTCTCAACTCATTGCCGCCCGCGTGAGACTCAGACAATGAAAATAAAGAAACAGCTCTTTGCACTGTAAATAAAAAACCCAACACAGATTCAGTCATTTAGATTACAATGATTTTCTCTTTTAAGTCTTTTTTATACTGCATGGGATTGTTGCACGAACAAAACAAACTTAATGGTAAAGTCTGTAAACCATAAAGAGTCACAGTGTTTACACTCTTCAGTGGCTTACTTGCAGTCAGTGCATACTAAGTTGGGTTAAGAGAAAGTACATTGAAAATGACATCATCTTTATATGGAAGGCCATTTCTGCCACATAAGAAAAAATCATACTTTGGTAAATCATAATTAGGACCAAAAAGTTGATAATTATGAGACAAAAAGTTGCAATTATGAGATGAGATTTAAAATGTCGAAATTATGAGATAAAAAGACCAAATTATGAGATAAAGTCGAAATGAGAAAAATAAATAATTACATAAAATGTCGAAATCAGATTAAAAGTTGACATTGAGATAAAAAGTCTGAATTATGATATAAAATGTCAAAATTATGAGATATAGTCATAAAGACATAAGTAGTAGTAGTTCATTATTTTATTGCCATCTCACAAAATAAACACAAATACAGTAAATAAAACTATACGATAAGATTTTTAAAATTAACATATGATAAAAAAATCTAAAATCTTTTTAGGTCAAATCCTACTAAACAAGTCCCTGAGTGAGCGTACTTCATTAAGAAAATTTGCATTAAAGCCGGAAAAGTCCAATAAAATATGTCGAAATTAAGAAATAAAAAGGTCCTAATTATGAAATAAGTCACGATGATGGAAAAAAAGGTAATAATCAACTACTTTTACACATTTTTTTTAATGTACTTTTTATGTAATAATTATGATTAACCAAAACATAAAATGGGCTTCCATAACTTAAAGTATCTTAGTCTGACTTCAGAATCAGACGTGTCCGACAACACAGCCTGATACCTTCATATGCTTTGGCCGCATTGACGAGGCTGGACCACTCTAGACCACAGGCAGTGTCAGGAAGGGGCATGAGTCCAGGGTCCAGTCTTCTGAGAGGTGGAACCTTATCCCTCACCTCAGTCAGAGATAATTCTGATGCAGACAATGGTACTGGAAAAAAACAAAAAATTGACAGTTTACCCCAAAGAGTAAAAACATACCAGCTGACTATGACCAGCAAATGACACCTACCTTTCTTACTAGGCATGAGGGTTCCATGATTGGTGTTGTGTCCGTGGCGTCGAGTAGGCAGCGTGCAGGTGAAGAGAAGGTCACTGGGCGGCACTTGTCCTTCAAAAAGAGGCGTGCTTGCATAACTAGAATCTCTCCGTCCACTGCACAGACTCTCATCTGAGAAAGTACGTTGCAGGGTCCGATGAGGAGACTGTAGAGAAGCACAAACACACATTGAACAAATGAGTTTGATTGATTGTCTTGTTGTATTTTTTGTCTCTTTCTAGTGTTTGTTTACCCCATCCCGTGATGGTGTCTCTGTAGGGTTGTCCATGATGATGAGCTTTTTCAAGTCGTCCTCAATGGTGCTCTTGTGAGATCTGCGTGGTGAGCGCAGGTCCCTCAGAGAGGCACGTAACCGGGGCTGTCCGAACACATTCTTACTGTTCATATCCAGCTGCCTGAAAGCACACACAATAATAATCAGGACCAAGATTTAAATATGTCGTGCATCTATTTCATAATCCATCAGCCTTCTCATAAACATGAAATCTACACTTCACAAACACACATACTTGCAGCTGTTGCTGTTGCTGTCAGTGGAGGTGGTGCTGGTTGCTGTGCTGTTCTCCTCCTGTTGCCATGTACTCTTAGTTTTACTAAAGGACTTGGGGGCGGAGCTTGACAGCTGGGCAGAGCTTGACAGCTGGGCGGAGCCTGACGTGGGTGTGACAGTTGAAGATCTGAAAGGCCGGGGTTTATCAGCCACAGCAGGGGTCTTGTACCCTTGAGGGGTATAGCAGGACCTAAATCCCAGAAACAAAAATACATACAATTCATATGTTGGTAGGTCAGGATTATTAACACTGAAAATCACATTTATAACGCTATAACTGCAGGCATAATCTATTATTGCCCATCACTGCCGTTTGTGCACATATGTTTTTCAGTCACACCTGAATTATCCCATATGTGTGTTGTGCTCCACTATGTCTATCAAGATACATTAGCATTCAAACGTTTTTACTGTAGTACTTCACCTTTAACTCATTTTATACAACAGTTCTTTCTGGTCCTCGAATCGGATTGGCTGAGAGGCTTTTCTAGCCGTGTGATATTCTAGTGATAACAGAACTCCACTTGCAGCATTTCTCACAGCGAGCGTCATGGCAAACGGCCAAATCTATTTAAATTATATAAATATGGTTTTGTGTCACGAAATATATATTTTTTTAGGCGAGAATGTAGTTATTAATACTTCAAATATGAAGTTTGTTAATAAAGATAACGTCTACTTTAAATTTGTTTCGATGTTTTTGGAAATGTGAGCTCCAGGGTGTCAGCGGCCATTCAGCGCTCATGAATCCGCCGAGAGCAGCCTTACCTCGGCCAGTTTTTTGGGAATTTGCTGCTGGCTCTGATGTCTCTTAGACATTAAATATTATTCGTTTTTATTAGGGCTGGGCAAAAAATCGAATGCGATTTTCATGCGAATCTCGTCAGTAAAGCCGCTTCTGGTGATTAGTAGTAAATCTCCAGCACGTACTTTCAGATGGAGCGGCATTTACTACACAGAGCCGTAGATCACTGACAAGCTACACAAAATCGCAGGCGATTCATTGCTGATTTTGAACGCGATTTTGCGTAGCTTGTCAGTGAACTACGGCTCTGTGTAGTAAATGCCGCTCCATCTGAAAGCACGTGCTGGAGATTTACTACTAATCACACAGTATCACACTCATAGCTGTGCGATATGGCTGTACATCAGCACGCTGTGATTACCTACGGCCAAATCACAGCCGTGCTGATATACAGCCATATCGCACTGCTACTCGTGTGATATAGCTAATTTATTTCCAGTTAGTTTGCACGGCAACATTTCTTTTCGTTAAACTTTTTAATGATCCCTTATGTGTATTGTGCTTTGCTATGTTAATCGAGGTACACATTCAAAAGTTTGGGATCAGAAAGATGTTTTTAAAAGTCTCTAATGTTCACCAAGGCTGCATTCATTTGGTCAAAAAAATACAGTAAAACCAGTTAAATTGTGAAATATTATTACAGTTCAAAGAACTGTTTTTTTAACTGTTAATTTTTTCCTGTGAAGATAAAGCTGAATTTTCTGCATCATTACTCCAGTCATCAGTGTCACATGATCCTTCAGAAATCATTCTAATATGCTAAATTGGTGCTCAAGAAATATTTCTTATTAATATCAGTGCTAAAACTGTTTTATGTGTAAACTATAATACATTTTTTTAAATTCTTTGATTAATAGAAAGTTCAAAAGAACAGTATTTATTTCAAATAGGAATATTTTGTTACATTATAAATGCATTTACTGTTACTCTTGATTGATTTAATGCATTGTCGCTAAATAAAAGTATTAATTTCTTAAGAAAAAAAAAAAAACTTACTGACCCCAAACTTTTGAACAGTAGTGTATACATTTCAGAATAAAAACAATACCTTGGTTTGAAGTTGTCGACGTTGGCTGATCCAGGAGGGGGGAATGTGCGGGTGCGATAGTTCTTGCTTTGATTTGCAAATGCAATGACGGGTGAAGACTCCCTGTGACGATCCTCTCCTCCCGCCCTCCCTCCTGCTCCGGACAGCTCCTGCAAGCCGCTGTAGGTAGCAGAACCATGCAAAGGTTTATGGGGGGTTCCTGCAAGGCTGCGGCTAGGTTTGGCTCCTTTAGTGTTGGGACTTGGCGTGTAGAGAGATGCATCGATGCCACTGTCACTGGAGCCTCCCTTGCCCATATGGTCAGGGTCGGGGTCTGAGGGGTCACTCAGGGCACCGGAAACCACACCTCCCACGCTGTCAAACCAGCGCTCGTCGCTGTGACTGCTGGAAGCATTGCTGGAGAGCGTGTTACTGCTGGAGTGACTGGGAGCCGTAGATCACTGACAAGCTACACAAAATCGCAGGCGATTCATTGCTGATTTTGAACGCGATTTTGCGTAGCTTGTCAGTGAACTACGGCTCTGTGTAGTAAATGCCGCTCCATCTGAAAGCACGTGCTGGAGATTTACTACTAATCACACAGTATCACACTCATAGCTGTGCGATATGGCTGTACATCAGCACGCTGTGATTACCTACGGCCAAATCACAGCCGTGCTGATATACAGCCATATCGCACTGCTACTCGTGTGATATAGCTAATTTATTTCCAGTTAGTTTGCACGGCAACATTTCTTTTCGTTAAACTTTTTAATGATCCCTTATGTGTATTGTGCTTTGCTATGTTAATCGAGGTACACATTCAAAAGTTTGGGATCAGAAAGATGTTTTTAAAAGTCTCTAATGTTCACCAAGGCTGCATTCATTTGGTCAAAAAAATACAGTAAAACCAGTTAAATTGTGAAATATTATTACAGTTCAAAGAACTGTTTTTTTAACTGTTAATTTTTTCCTGTGAAGATAAAGCTGAATTTTCTGCATCATTACTCCAGTCATCAGTGTCACATGATCCTTCAGAAATCATTCTAATATGCTAAATTGGTGCTCAAGAAATATTTCTTATTAATATCAGTGCTAAAACTGTTTTATGTGTAAACTATAATACATTTTTTTAAATTCTTTGATTAATAGAAAGTTCAAAAGAACAGTATTTATTTCAAATAGGAATATTTTGTTACATTATAAATGCATTTACTGTTACTCTTGATTGATTTAATGCATTGTCGCTAAATAAAAGTATTAATTTCTTAAGAAAAAAAAAAAAACTTACTGACCCCAAACTTTTGAACAGTAGTGTATACATTTCAGAATAAAAACAATACCTTGGTTTGAAGTTGTCGACGTTGGCTGATCCAGGAGGGGGGAATGTGCGGGTGCGATAGTTCTTGCTTTGATTTGCAAATGCAATGACGGGTGAAGACTCCCTGTGACGATCCTCTCCTCCCGCCCTCCCTCCTGCTCCGGACAGCTCCTGCAAGCCGCTGTAGGTAGCAGAACCATGCAAAGGTTTATGGGGGGTTCCTGCAAGGCTGCGGCTAGGTTTGGCTCCTTTAGTGTTGGGACTTGGCGTGTAGAGAGATGCATCGATGCCACTGTCACTGGAGCCTCCCTTGCCCATATGGTCAGGGTCGGGGTCTGAGGGGTCACTCAGGGCACCGGAAACCACACCTCCCACGCTGTCAAACCAGCGCTCGTCGCTGTGACTGCTGGAAGCATTGCTGGAGAGCGTGTTACTGCTGGAGTGACTGGAATAGTGTGCCTCACCCTGAGAGAGAGCAGGAGGAAGAGTGATCAGTACACAAGGGCCAAATGAAACAACTTCCTGGTTGCCCTGATGATGACTTTTTACCTTAGAGTGGCGGTTTGGAGAGTCCTTCCCTGCAACGTCCTGTCGAGTCTGTCTTCTCGGAGCTGAGCCCACTGACACACCTCGTGATGAAGCAGGAACATGCCACATGGGCTCTGTCCAACACAAAAACACAAAAGGAGTAAAGTCCAATTCACACTGACACAAAACTGTTTACATGCACCCTGAAAGTTTCAAACTAAAGCAATATTTAATCTTTTTAGAATGTTATATAAACATCTAAAGATAAATTTCATCTTGTCTTAACCTAACTTTAGTATTTTACAGAAGACGGATCACTTTTGTTAAACTTTACTAAACAAATCAGTGACTCATTCAAAATGAATTGCTTCCAGTCGGTTTTTAACCTGGTTGTCAGTGTGAACAGCCCTTATTTTGTGAGTGTTTGACACTCTTCATTGTGCTTGATAATCAGATGTTTGTTGTGTTTCTCTATCAGACTCAGTATTATTTTAATATTATTTATATAATATTATAGTATTTATTGATATTTTGAATTAGCTTTTATTTTTATATTTTCAGATTTCATTTTAAGTTTCAGTAATTTTTTGCTTTGGCCATTTGTATTAGTATTTTTTAAATAGTTTTTATTTAAAAAAACTCATGTTGGCTCAGTGGTAGAGCACTGCATTAGCAGCGCAAAAGGTCGTGGGTTCGATTCCCAGGGAACACACATACTGGTAAAAAATGTATAGCCTGAATGCACTGTAAGTCACTTTGGATAAAAGCGTCTGCTAAATGCATAAATTATTAAATTAAATTAATTAATTACATTTTTTATTTAGCTTTAATTTATTTTTCTGTTTTAGTTTTATTGTTGTACTTCAGCTTTAACTTCTATTTATTTCAGTTAGTTTATTTCTAGTTGGAGTTTTTCCATCTAATATTTACATTTTGTTTTATTTCAATAAAGAAAATTACTTTTAATCATTTTTGTTTTAGTGAACAATAACAAGACTCAATTAATGCCTGAATAATGACCAGTGATCACCAGTGAAACCCAATGGTTTTCGTAAAGAAGCCTATATTTACAGTGTATCCAGCAGAGGGCACTCAAGTGATGGGGCGGTACACAAAACACATTTACAGTAGTCATTATTTAAGGACTGGTACTCCTTTGAAAAATTGACACTTATGACTGGTTTTGTGGTCCATGGTCACAAATGTCTTTGAATTATGCATGTTTGTTTACCTGACTTGTTGCGCTCCATCGTGCTTTCTTGGCTAGTGAAACCAGATGATGATTCTCCACTAGAGACATCGACTGTAACGTGTGGATCAAATGGCTGGAGAGGCCGCTGGACTGACCCAAACCTACACACACAACAAATATTAACATGTTATTAAATACATTCTTATTTAACCTATGTTAACCAGCTAAATTCTGACCACTTGGATCAAGTTGGCTGGCATTTTATTGGAGAGCAGGGATTTGGAAGAACGACATGTGGTTAGAGTTAGCAAAACAGTGGAAAATGCTTACAGCAGTTTTGAAGTCAACATGAAATACTGTTCACAGATAACAAGGGATGGGATTTTAGTCATCAGAATTTATTGGATTGTGGAAAGGGTTTGTGTATGACAGGTGGTTGAAGGGGAGTGTGGACACAAAAGCCGAAAAGGAAAGTTGCCCCAGAGGCAGATAAAGACATTTGACTTTAAAGTCCCAATGAAACGAAATTACAGACAGATCTTTTGTTCTGTATTGTGATGTACGTCCAGACAACCCAAACATTTTATTTGGTACATGCACCAATGAATCAAACACATTATGAGTATTAAGAAACCAAACAGGGTCATTTTTGACACCCTGCAGCAACGTCTGCATCATTCACATGCCACATTAAATCCAAAGTCTGTTGCAACCCAAGTGTTCTGTCACTTGTCACCTTGTGGGTTTGAGTGGTGATGTATGGCTGAATCTGATGGGACTAATAATAGCACTCATTAGCACATCTCGCTGAATCACCACCATAAACAGAGTCAGTGTTGGGGTACTGTGTTAACAGACTCACAGTACCCCAACAACTCTCTATAACACCCTAATGCACTTTAAACTGTAAAAACATTCAGGAAAAAGCATGCCCAGGAGACTACAGGCTGTCATTGAGGCTAAGGGTTGCCGACTAAGTATTCATAGTTGTGTAAATATTGGACTGTATCTATTTGATAAATGAAGTTAACCAACTAACATTATACATACCCTTTTGGTTTCTGTACCCAATATTTAAAAAATGTACAAATGCAATAAAAATATCAGTATCGGTACTCGGTATCGGCAAGTACCAAAAATAAAAGTATCGGTATCGGGTGAGTACTGGAAAAAGTGGTATCGGTGCATCCCTACTTTAAACACCATGTGAGCTGTAAGTTGCAACTGACTTTAATATTAAAACGTATTTCCAAGTGAAATGGAATATTGCATTATAATCTCTAGGGCTGTGAAAATGGCTGAAAAACTAAATTCGAATTTTGTACTTAAGTATATTCAAAATTCGAATTATATTCTAATTTAAAAGGCATAATTTCAGTTAGTAGTCGACCGATATTGGTTTTTTAACAGCTGATGCCGATATCTTGGAAAGCAGGGTGGCCGATGGCCGATATAAAGCCGATATAATTGTATTTATTTTCATTAATATTAAAGAAATTTGAAATAATTTGAAAATGGATTAAAAAATTAATTTGCTAAATAAACATACTTATACTTTAGATGACAAAGTATTTTTCTCAAATAAATAAATATTTAATAAAAATATAATTGAAAAGGAAGTAAACTGTAACCAACAGAGCACTCCATATTCTGGGAAGTTTGTGTGCATTGGGAATCATATTTTTTCAAATAAAGCCAAGGTAACACTCATTTTACATACACCACACAGTGAAAATGACATGAATATGACAGTGGAAATATGCATTCTGTGTGAACGGCTTGGTTTCGGTTTTGACGTAAACAAGATCCGCATTGATGTTCTCTTTTCCCGCAATATTTGTAATTAACAATGCAGCAGCGCCGCATCCAGTGACTTCAACTAGATAGGCTAACAAAAACATTAAAATGCAATGACACTTACATCGTCATCGCATCTCGTGCGCCACTGATAAAGCAGCCTTCTTAACGCACACCTAAAATTCGAATGCAACGTTTTTGCATTCAAATGTGGATTTCTATTTTAAATTCGACGAATATTAGAAATTCAAATTTTTTTTGACAGTCCTAATAATCTCTAGCTCACAGAAAGCTGAAGTTTGGAAAATAAGGGTTAAGGATGTTCTGCTTCAGGCCATTAAACTGATGTCAGCAGAAAATGAATGCTATTCCAGAAGGGAAGCAAATTTTCAAGTGTTGACTAAATATTACGAAGACAATTTAGTTCTGTAGATTAACTTTTCTTGCACAGATTAAAAGTTCACCATATCGCTAGTAATGTGTGCTAACAAAGTAAACCGGGTCCATTTCGATTTTATGCAGATTTTAAAATATGGTTCAGAATCAATTATCTTGCTAATAAAGTACTTTGTGAGCTCTATAAATATTTAAGGTGTTTGTCATGGGGATGGTGTTTGGAGGGGACAAGCCCTAATTTAGATGCAGAACAACAGGATATGCTAATCAATGACCTACTTTTTTTAATTACATTAAATATAAATGCATGTGACTAGGAAAAGCAGAAAAATACAGAGTCAACATGATTTTTTTTTGCCCATTTCTTTTCTTGTTCCTAGTCTTATTGTGAACCATTCAGTGTATGTTAACTTCAAAAAAACCCAAACATTCAAGTTCCTCTGGTTGAACAGGGCAGCTAACCATCAAGGACACAACAGTGCACTATGAAAGTCTGTACATGCCATGACCTCTGCATTATACACATATATAATCACACACAAACACACAATAGGCTTGTGAATCAGCAGCAGTTTAGGTCTAGCTGATACATGCCTCAACCACAGCCTCTCATTTACCATCAGACACACCCACCGATGACGGTAAACAGCGCCTGAAGATGTTCATTTCTATCCTCGCTATCATTTATTGCTTCTGCTCTGTATCACTTTCCCAACAGTTATGGGAAAGATATTGAATGTTTACACAATATGAAAGCAATACAGATATTTCAATAATGTCTCTGATAGCAAACAGTGTTGGGAAGTTCAATTCATTTTGTCAGATGAACACCCTGACAGGATTTATTAGGCAATAATCTGAGTGTATATCTCTATATTGTCAAAATGCTTAAAAATATCAGCCCTAGTTGCCGATGAATGGCCCATCTATGAATTTTAGTGTGTGAATCCCTCAGAATTCTCATATGCTGAACTAAAACAACTGACAAGTCAGATGATAGTGTTGTAAGGTACTGATGGCAAAAGCTTCAAAAAACAAAACAACTGACCCGTCTCGAGTGGGTTTATAGTGGACAAAGGGTCCGCTGAGTCCCGGCACCCCCAGTGCGCTGGAGCTGAACCCAGAGCCTGGACTGGAGAAACTAGCCGAAGGGTTTCTGTACTGCATCCCTCTGTCCCCGGTAAGAGGAGACACACTGTAATGGTTCTCTGGGTAACTGACAGGCCTGTGGGAGGAGACGGAAATAGCTAGTGAGAAGAAAACAAAGCCAACAGATCTGGCCAATAGTTGGTTTCCTTGAGATTTTAACTATATGCTGAAATGTCTCACCTTTTAGCAGAGATGTGTTGGGGCTCTCTGTATGGAATGGGGACCAGGGCTTTGTGTGTACGGCTGGGGACTGGTGGGGGTCCGCTGGGGGTCCAGCGCTGAGCAGAGCTGTGTGTACCAGGTGGGCTGTCCCAGCGCCATACTGGGGTTCGCTGCCCACCACGATACCCTGCAGCCACTGGCTCCGCTTCTCCCTTCTGCTCCATCATCTTCATCTCGTACTCCTCCGTACAGCCCCTACAAACACACAGTCATAAATTATTCATATTTAAATATGTAAATAACCAAGGACTCTAAAACTGTCATCAGTTCATCACTTCATACCTCATAACAATATATAATTTATACACTACAGTCCAACAGTTTGGTCGGTAAAAATGTCTTTTAAAATCTTTTAAAGTCTCTTTAAAAGTGCCCCAATGCTGCATTTATATTTGATCAAAAAATACAGTAAAAACAGTAACGTTATGAAATATTACAATTTAAAATAGCTGTTTTCGACTTTAACATGTTTTAAAATTACTCCAGTCTTCAGTGTCACACAGTTTATTATTTTTGTGGAAACTGATGCATTTTGTCAGGATTCCAATTAATAGAAACTGCAATATGAAATAGAAATCTTTCTTACATAATAAATGTCAATTCTGATCAATTCCATACATCCTTGCTAAATAAACGTATTAATTACTTAAAAATCTCACTGAATCCAAACTTTTGAACAGTAGATAAAATAAACATATTAAAATATACCACAGTGATCATAATTGCAGCCTCTGAAAATTCCACGCCTTTATTTTATTTGCATTTCCACACTGGTTTATTATAGTTTATAGTTTAGATAAACCACCCATAAGTCATTTTTGTGGCTGCCTGTCTGGTCATTTAGCATGTCAGTCTCATCCTGTCTAAACAAGCGGATCTTGGTCAGAATAAGCTAAAATGGGAGCAGACGGCTTGTCTCAAGTCAAAGGACTGGCTATGTGAGATAAGGTTGATTATGACTGTTTTAAAGCCTATGTGCCAGACATGTGTTGTTTTAAAGCCTATGTGCCAAAAACTCTTCATCCCGGGTTAAAGATTACAGATGGCTGTCCCAGCGCCATAGTGGGGTTCGCTGCCCACCACGATACCCTGCAGCCACTGGCTCCGCTTCTCCCTTCTGCTCCATCATCTTCATCTCGTACTCCTCCGTACAGCCCCTACAAACACACAGTCATAAATTATTCATATTTAAATATGTAAATAACCAAGGACTCTAAAACTGTCATCAGTTCATCACTTCATACCTCATAACAATATATAATTTATACACTACAGTCCAACAGTTTGGTCGGTAAAAATGTCTTTTAAAATCTTTTAAAGTCTCTTTAAAAGTGCCCCAATGCTGCATTTATATTTGATCAAAAAATACAGTAAAAACAGTAACGTTATGAAATATTACAATTTAAAATAGCTGTTTTCGACTTTAACATGTTTTAAAATTACTCCAGTCTTCAGTGTCACACAGTTTATTATTTTTGTGGAAACTGATGCATTTTGTCAGGATTCCAATTAATAGAAACTGCAATATGAAATAGAAATCTTTCTTACATAATAAATGTCAATTCTGATCAATTCCATACATCCTTGCTAAATAAACGTATTAATTACTTAAAAATCTCACTGAATCCAAACTTTTGAACAGTAGATAAAATAAACATATTAAAATATACCACAGTGATCATAATTGCAGCCTCTGAAAATTCCACGCCTTTATTTTATTTGCATTTCCACACTGGTTTATTATAGTTTATAGTTTAGATAAACCACCCATAAGTCATTTTTGTGGCTGCCTGTCTGGTCATTTAGCATGTCAGTCTCATCCTGTCTAAACAAGCGGATCTTGGTCAGAATAAGCTAAAATGGGAGCAGACGGCTTGTCTCAAGTCAAAGGACTGGCTATGTGAGATAAGGTTGATTATGACTGTTTTAAAGCCTATGTGCCAGACATGTGTTGTTTTAAAGCCTATGTGCCAAAAACTCTTCATCCCGGGTTAAAGATTACAGATTTTAAGGGATGTTTCAAAAGACTAGTTCTGCAGTAATTTGAGTGTGTACTTGAGCACAGCGGGTCTGGTTCACTGTGGCAGATTAGTCCAAAATCCCTGTTGACCAGTACACTAACCCCTACTGAATGCCAAACAGCATGAGGATGAAACGCTCTCATCAGTGCCAGAATCCCTCTGGGTCTCTCTGCTTTCTGATGATGATGGGAAACTGAAACCCACTCTGTGTCGGAAGCCACCCTCTCTCCCCCCTCCTCCACCGTCAGCACTTTCACACAAGGACTCAAGTCAAGGTAACTGTCCTTTGATTTGACTTTCTTCTAAACAACAGCTTTATCAATCTCATCTTCTACTATTCAGTTTGTCAGCAGAGAGGGTCAGTACCTTTCCTGACAAAATCATTAAAAACTTGCAGTACTGTTTAGAAAAGTTTAGGATCAGTTCTTTTATTTAGCAAAGATGCGTTAAATTAATCAAAAGTGACAATAAAGACATCTATAATTTTTTTTTTACTGTCTATTCATCAAAGAATCTAGAAAAAAATGTGTATCCGTTTCCACACACAAAAAAAAACTAACATTGATAACAATAAGAAATGATTAATTCATTATAATAGAATGATTTCTGAAGAATCAGGTGACACTGAAGGCTAGAGTAATGTCATCACAGGAATACATTACATTTTAAAATACACAACAATAGAAACAGTCATTTTAAACTGTTACAATATTTCACTATATTACTGATTTTTGATCAAATAAATGCATCCTTGGTGAGCATAAGAGACTTTATAATAGGGCTGCACAATTAATCGAATTTCTAATGGATGGATGCCACAATTACGTAATCGTTCAAAGCGGCAATTAATCGTTCAAAGTCCACTTATGTTATTCGGCATGCTTAAGATATGTTTTTTTTCTTTCTACATGTTATCTTAAGGGTTTTTCCATTGTTTTAGTTTTAGTATAACATTATAATACCATTCATATTTTTACTTTTTTATAATTTAGATGTATAGTTGACATTTGAGGCTTAATACCATGGAAAAGCACTAAAAAATTTTCAGTTAAGAGTGTTTTCAGCTTGTTTATTTTCATATAAAAATACAGCATGCAGTTGCATCAAACAATGGTATAAACATAATTCAATGTAAATTGTGATAATCGCAATTAATAATCGCAATTACAATTTTTAAGGGAATAATCGACAATTATGATTTTTGTCATAACCGTGCAGCCCTACTTTATAAACATTAAAAAATCTTACCAGTAGCATATGGTTACAAGCCCAGGAAGTCTATTAAAGCACTGCTATCCTGGCTATCCTACCAATTTCAGCCACTAGCAAAAATAACCAACAATTCTCCACAATTCACCTGATATTCCAACCCTTACTCTAGTAGCCCCTTCTGCCCCTTGACATCTATATTTCATACATCTTCATCTTTATTGTATGCTGCTACCCACAGGGAGGGAGAAAAAGACAGACAAACCGAGAGTCAGAAAGCCAAAATGAGACAAAAGGAAGCAGGGAGGAGAGCGAGAGGAGGAGGGGAGAGTGGAAAACACATCAGACTTCACAGCGCTTCTGTCTAATACACCAAAAAACTCTCTTCTGAAGACCACAAGGGCACATAAACTAGCCCTGACTGACTACACCGACACGCTGAGAATGTATAGAGGGCAGATAGAGACATAGAGGATGTAAACTGAATACTAACTATCAGCTCAACATGTTTATATAAACCTACCAGCTACAAAGGTGCCCAAAATCTCTGAGACCACTAACAAAAATGACCATTTTACATTTTAATTTAATACAACATCTTTCATTACAAATTATGAGTATAGCAATGTGAATGAAAACTTAAATTAACTTTGTTTTTGCTTTGCCCCTTTTGCTTTAATAACAGCAGCCAATGATCGTGTTCTAATCATTATATTCTGGTGACGAATTAAGAATTTGACTTAATTTGTTCCCATTTTGTAATTAAATCATGCCCGCATTTTAAAGTCACAATAAAAACAAAGTAGCGACAGAAGTAGTGCTTCTATCCATCCAAGATCTGAATGCGAGCATGTGGTCGATTGTTAAAAGGGGAGGGGTTTAAACGGACTAAATGATCGGACACTAAATGTCCACAATTCAGCTAAAACGAGGGAACAAATTAATAAACAAACCTATTTTTTCCCCTTATGCTGTGTAGGGCTCCGTAACTTTAATATATTACAACATTTTAAATACTAAACATTTTTTTTAATAGTACAAATCTTAATACAAATCTTGGTAACACTATAACACTATACAGTATCGTTGTTACACATTACATGTACTTATTACTGCTATAGTAATAACAGTAAATTTTGCACAATTACATGCAACTAACCCTATAGCAAGTGCATGGTGTTAATTTATATTACTCAGTTCTTAAATGAATAATTACTCTATAACAACCTTAAAATAAAGTGTAACCCAAATCTTAGATATTTCATATTTTATATCATGTTTACATTTTTTTTTTTTTTTTTTTCTAAATTCTAAAATTTTACTTCCAGGATTAAATGAAAAAAAAACATTTTCAATGTGGTCTCAGACTTTTGAATCCTACTGTATATTGAAAAAACTAGACATTTTCAAACAATTATCAGCCCTTGCTGTTTTTTTTAAGATGTTAAAGACATAATAATTTTTCAGCACAAATAAATGCTTCTTAATCAAAGAGACTGAAGCCATGCTTGGACAAAGGCTAGAAAAAGCCTGAGCGTGAAATACAAGAGCACAGCCTCATGTTGCTGCACTGAAAATCTTCCTCTTCATCACTAAAGGAGTGCTGTCAGCTCCACCACTCCTCTTTTACTGCCATCCATCTATCTATCCATCCAACACCTTCACCGTGTCAAAGTATCCTGTGTAATTCATTGTTGTAATACAATTGAGCTCCAGCGTTTCACATCCATCCTCTCTTTGTCTCCAAGCCCATCACTAACCTCCGAGTGTAGACCAGACTGTTGTATCGGATGTCCGCGGCAGCGCCATGAGGCTCTGACTGACAGCTGAAGTACAAATGAGCTCTGACAAACGGACACACACACACACACACATGCACAGATTTCTGCTCTCCACCCATCCAATCCTCTCTTTCACTATGATAACAAGAGGAAGGAGAGAGAGGGAGGGTGAGATGGAGGGAGAAAGAGGAGGAGGGGTGTTCCTCCCACTTTGTTTCCGAGCGAGGAGGCGCTCAGACATGCCTCAGCATCTACCGTCTTTATATTCTTTCCCTGCATGCCAAACACACCGCCCGTTCCCTGTCAGCCTCACGCCGAACACATTCTTAATTAAACCCCCTTTATTTATTTATAGCCCCTTTTTCACAGATTCCAGGCTTTAGTCTCATGCAATCTGCTCCCCTGGCACTCCTCGACAAACAGAGGCTGGGCCGCTGAGAGGGAAAGAGATACAAACAGAGGAGGGAAAACGAAAGAGATAGAATGACAGAAAGACAAGCATGTCGAAGCATGCAATTAACACGCTCTTTCGTTCCACGGCACAGTGTGGGTGGGGGGTGTTGGGATGCATGTGTGCGCGAGAGAGAACATCTCAAAAGGAGTTTATTTAACCACAACGGCGAACACATGTCCCGCTAGCACGCAATCAAACACGCTGCTGAGTAATTAGCCCCTAACAGCAGCCACTCAGTGTCATGCGACGCTAAACGGTCAAACATGCACTAAGAAATTAAATGTGCATTAAGAATTTAAATGTAAAAATGGATTTTTAAGACCAAAATACGAAGTTTAGAAGCGCCTGCAGACGTACCTTTTCGACGCAGCAAAATTTAGGCTTCACATAATCACTGTTTTCATATGTAAACTGTTCCATCCCTCTCTCCTCTTCTTACACTCTCTTTCTATCTGTCCCTCTCTCTCCAACACTCCCACTCACTGTTCCCCCGAGAACTGAGGCGTCTGCCAACGTTCTCAAAATCTGGTGACTGCCAGTGTATGTGCGTGCGCGCGAGTGTGTGTGTTGGTGCATCCGACAAAGAGGAGGTACGAGTGAGAGAAACAAAAGCTTTTTCCCTCTTGTTTGTGAAACTGAATCTTTGAATTATGTCAGAGGGGTTCCAGTCGGCGGGCATTTGCAACAAGCAG